CCGAATTCCTAACCCATTCTCCTTGACTGGGAAAGCTAGTTTTCTCCACGCGCGCCAGTGTTTCCCATAACCATATTCATTCTCCCCCCAAAGGAAGTTTTGACATTTCCGTTCCATTTCCATAATAATGGATTTCGGCGGTACCAATGTAGCAATTGTGTGAACCGGCAATGCTTGAAGTTAATGCCGGAGTAGTATCAACCTCCCTCCAGTTGACAATAATCTATTTTTCTAATTTTGTAATTTTGCATCCACGGCATCTAGGGGATGTTGAAAGAATTCCACCTTCTTCCTGCTGTTGAATAGAGTGAAGCCAAGATACTTAAAAGGCAATGTCCCTTGTGGCATTTGTAGAGTATTTGAGATAATATCTTGTTGCCTTGTGCTACTAGAATCCGAACTAATGAACATGCTTTTTTACTTATTCATTTTTTGGCCTATTGCTTCGTCATATTCCTTAAACAAATCATTTAACCTCTCCATGGAATTTGTCAAACCCTTAGTAAAAATCACTAGGTCATCCGCAAAGCATAGATGCGAAATAATGGTCAAACATGCCGGCGTTCCATAGTGCGCAACTTTCCCGGTTTCCATTAGGGCTTTTAAATTCCTTGATAAAGCCTCTGACACTAGGATGAATAGATAAGGAGAAAGAGGATCTCCTTGTTTAATTCCCCTTGAAGCCTTAAAGAAACCAACGGGATTGCCATTAAGCTCCATGAGACCCTATCAAACTTTTATCATGTCGACTTTGATGAGTAAATTCCCCCTAGTGAAGAATGGTCCAGAAATTGTATCATATCCTGAGTAGTTAGAATGTTGTCCACAATGTCACGCCCCTCAACAAACGTGGATTGTTCCTCTGAAATCAGGCCCGGAAGTAATGGTTTCAATCTCTGAGTAATCAGCTTTGTAAACACCTTGTTGATGAAGTCACACATACTAATCGGTCTGAAATCCGCAAAGGTTGTGGCCGTCACTTTTTTTGGAATCAAAGTCATTATTGTACTCCCAATTGCACGTAGCATCAGAGTTCCCGCAACGAAATCCTCGCAAGCTGCTTGAAGATCTTGACTGATAATAGGCCAACATTGTTGAGAAAACTCTTCCCCAAATCCATCAACCCCAGGAGAACTTGAAGGATCCAAATTGAAAACGGCAGTCCGTATTTCCTCCACGGTAACCGCTTTGATCAACGCATCATGTTCCTCTTGTGTCACTAGCGTCGGAATATTTTGTAGAATTCCAAACCATGCTTCTTCATGATTCGAAGAGTCCTCCTTTGTGAGGAGGTTTTGGAAGAATGAGATTGCTTCATGTTCAATGATATTCCGTTCTGTAGTCCATGTTCCATCCGATCTCGAATCTTATGTATTCCCAGGCGCGCTTTTTTTTTTTTTCTCTAAGGGATGCATGAAAATAAGATGTATTCAAATCACCTTTTTTCAGCAACTTTAAACGTGTTTTTTGATGTAGAAAATCCTCTTGTTCCTTCAGTTTATTAAGAAGATGAGCCTGTGATTGATGCAAAGCCACCCGATCAGTTTCACTATTGGATTGATCATATTGCATCTCCTTAGTACGCACCTCTACTTCTGCATTTTTAAAATTTTGAAAAAATCACCGAATTCAACCTTATTCCACTCCTTTAATCTGACTTTTAAACGCCTTAACTTCAATGAAAAAGCTAGCATTCCCTGTTGAACAATCGGTTGCTCCCAGTTTTCTTTAACTATCTTCATAAAGTTGTGCCTTCGAAGCCACATTTTCTGGAATCGAAACATTCTTGGTTTTGTGTCTTCCTCCACCTTATATTGCAGCAATATGATCAGATGTAGTTCGACTAAGATGATGAACTGATGCGATCGGGAAGAGTGTCAGCCATTCCTGCATGAGTATTCTGTCCAATCGTTTTGAAACACGTCCATTCTGTCTCATTCCCCGCCATGTATGTAAGTTTCCAACTGGTGGTAATTCTAGAAGATTGCAGTTGCCGATCCTATCATTAAATTCATCTATTGCGCCCAGATCTTTTTGCGAAACCCCTTCATATTCTTCAAGATTGTGGATGACATTGTAATCTCCCCCAACAATCCAAGGATCCCCATCATTATTTTGTTTAAAAGACAATAATTCTGACCACAGCTGCCTCCTTTCCTGTTTGGTAGATTTTGCGTTAACTGCCGACAGAAAAAATGATTGCGAAGACACAAGATGTTTCATTTCCAAATGTAGTCCTTGATCTCTTCCTCCTTTATCCGTTACTACCCAATCCTTAGATGCTAGAACCCATATTTTTTCCTGTTATTGACGATAAGGCTGAAGTAAAACCCAACTTATTTTTCAACTCTTCAAGCTTGGAAACCGGTTGCATTGGCTCCTGCAATATAACTATAGAAACAACATGAGACCGAACCAGATTTTTTAAACGTCTGATTGACGCCTTATTGCCTTTACCACGTACATTCCAATTTAAGATGTTACTCATTGAGAAATTTTGATTGGAGAGTCACCTTGCAGCATCGTCGATCGACGAGTTTCCGTACCCTGAACATGACCATTTGTCTTCGAACCTCTTGGTCTGCCTCTTTTCATATTCAACACGGTATATGCAGTAGATGACAATCCCGTCAAAGCCATGTCAGTGTAGGGCTCAAAATTCTCATAGGAGGGATACACCTATAATCCGGGGGTGGATGTCCATCCTCAACTCATTCATATTTCACATTGGCGCACTGACAAAATGCCACTCACTGATAAAAATACCAGAATGTCAAGAGACAACTTGAAATTATCCCTCATGGCATTTTGAGCAATGATATACAATATGCACTCCTCCTAATGTGTTCTTTTGCTTAGTTTGAAATATGACATTTTTCGAATTCCCTCTCCGTCACTCTAAATTTCCCGTTTTTGGACTTGACAGTCTCTAACTCATTCCTCAAAATGAATAGCTACTTTGTTGTCCTTTTATTTGATTTAATTCATTTCTGCAGGCCTGATTCATAAAAATTCATTAAGAAAAACTTCAATCATGTTTGTAATTCATTTTCTTTTTTATGAATTAATTATCATTAAGATGCTAGTCTACTCTTAGCACATAATAGAGTTATCTCGGACTAATGAGAAGAATGAGGTTGGGAGAGCAAGTAAAAGTTCGTTATAATAGGAAAACTACATAACAATACATTAATTAATTTTTTTTATTTCGTACATTATGTTTTCCGTAGGCCAACTGCCAAAATGCACAATTGTGGAAAATTAAATTTTTTTTTTTTTGAAAATTATTACCCAATGTCAAATATTTTTTCATGCAGGTGTACTAAAAGAATGCAACTTTGTTTACATTTGAAATTTAAATGTTTTGGGGTTTTAAATTTTATTGTAGTGTAAAAGATGAAAAACTTGTTTTGTATAAACTGAAAAACTTTGGGCTATGCTTTAATTTTGTTATTTCCAATGCAGAAAGTCATCAATTATTTTTTGTTTCTTTGACAAATCAAAATATCAAATAATTAGTACAAATGGTCAACATATTTGTAATGTCAGCCAACTAACAAGTACTCCCTCCATTTTTTACTATATGTTGTGTTACGGTTTACAAGATTTTTTAAAATGCACGTCGTTTTACAAAATCGAAATAATTTTTAACTAATATTACTCGTACATTGGAAATAAAAATAATATTTAAAAGAGATTATATTGGTTAGTAATGTTGTTGTGTGGATAATAAATTGGGGTACTTTTACATTTTAAACACATGATTTAATGTTCTATGATATTGGTATTGATGAAATTGCTAGAAAGACATATATTTTAGGATACAGGGAGTAACAAATGTGTGTACTCCATTTGCTCCATCGTCTATTGTCTCAACTATTAGTAATTATAGAGTGAATAATAATAGTAATTTTTGTATATCCTGCTACCCATGTATTAGTATTTCTATGTCAGGTTTTCAATTAATTTTCAGCAATTTCACAAATTTTATGAGTAAATTGCGATGTTTTATTTGTTTCATACTGGCACTTTCACCAAACCATCGGCCACAACGCTAGCTTTCAGAAAAATATGGCTAATTTGAACCTCCAAACACAAAAGAGTTAGATTCTGGATGGACTCTAAAGCGCGAAGACCCACTAACTATTTCGCCTTTTTTTAATAAACTGCGAAATGGTGGAATAAAGGTCGAGCCCTTCATTATTAATTTCTTTTTGGTTAAATTTTCAAAGTAGTAATTTTTAGTAATGTAAAATGAGGAAAAACTTAAATAAGTTTATTTGGTAGATGAAAAATTTCAAACAACGTTGTCTTCTAGCCATAATTTAATTATATTGGGTGATCATTCAAACATTATAATTAAATCGAAGAATGAGATTTTAGCTATCCATGGTCTGTTGCCATCACATTTGTAGGTCCGTCTTGGAGGATATGTGTTTACAATTGGACTATTGTTTCTCTCTTGGTGTATTCTGGAGTCAAGGGACAGAGAATACCGATGCGCATGAAATAAATTTCTATGGTGAAAATAATAATTCTTTTTGTTTGAAATGTTGTCTAAGTCAGATTTTCTATAAATCACGGTTGAGTGATTCCAATAATAAAATTTAATAAGATAACTCTTCATCTCTGAAAAAAAAAGAAACAAGAAGAATTTGCCTACACCATATATAGCTGAGGTTTAAATAACCCATAATAGTTACCTATATTCAAGATTTTTTTTTTTTTATTTTGGGGGGTAAATATATATATATATAGCTAGTTATGGTTAGTGTTTGAATTTTGAATAATAATGTATATAATCTACGCACTAATTAGGTGACTATTTTATGTCATCGGGATTAATCAGCCTAATTAATGCTCAGAGATTGTGTGAATCTATTCATGACAAAATATTCAAGAAAAGTAACTATGACCTCTTTATTACACTCTCTCTTTTCTCGTTCTTGTGCCTATATAATCTCTTTCAAACTTCAATTTTCATATAGTCTCCTTTTCTTCAATCAGCAAAATATTACTCAGTTTGACGTACGGAATTTTTTGCATTTCTTCTCCATCGTTGTTAGTTTTCAATTTACGCATAGCTATATATATGATGCTCTTTGATTGATTCCTTAAAATTGTCCATTCTATGTTTTTTTTCATAAACTAATTCGCATCATTTGATTTTGGCTATCAATTATTCTGTAATTAACGAACCGATTCTATTTGGTGGCGATTACTAAAATTTGAGTCTGTCTATTGTATTTTGGCATAATCATATTCTCGATTTGTTTTCTGTTGATTGTTACCCCTTTGTTGCTTATTCATGTAATCAATCTGAAATGAACAAACAATTTATTTAGTCATAATTTATTTAATCATAATTCCTCGGACATTTTCTAACACATTTTTTTTTGTTTTGTTTATTTTCTTTTCAGGTGTTCATCTTTGCAAAAACAATTCCAGGTATTGATTGAATAAACCCGTGATATAAGGTTTTGACTAATTATGCGTGGTAAATCATATGATTGAAGGAAAGATCCTTTTTTCCCCTTCAAAAGTTGTTTTAAGATTATAGTTTCAAAAGTTTCTTTTAAGTAAGGAATTGTGCTTTAGATTTATTGATTAATTCTTTTGAGACTTTCTCATTCTATTTTTCGCTTCAACTATTCAATGCATTGTTTGGTTACTTTTAGTTATCCCCTATTGTCTAATTAAATAATCATTTTCCTGTTTCTTTGATGTGTTTGAAAAAAAAAAACGCCAGTCTATTTTACAAACTGGCCATGGAATCTTTTTTTTTTTTTTTTAGTATAATCGTTTTCTCAGTTTTTGCTTTTTTTTTTCTTTTTAATTTTTTGTTGCCCTTTTCTGTCTATTTTACAAACTGGCCATTGAGTCTTTTTCTTTTTTTTTGGTTTTAGTATAATCGTTTTCTCAATTTTTGCTTTTTTTTTCTTTTTAATTTTTTGTAGCCCTTTTATTTCATATTTATTTAAGATCTGAATATTAACAAATAGTTTTAGGATCCTCTTTGGACATTTTCCTACACGTTTTCGATATTTGTTTATCTTCCTTCACAGGCTTGTTCCTCTACAAATTAAACCGTTCAAGATATCAATTGAAATATTCCATGAGAAATTTTACAATTAATTATTTGGCAAATTACTTCTTTCCGTTTCTTTTCCATTTAAACCTTTAATGAATTAGATCAATTCTTTCATTCCTTCAAAAGTTTGTTTGAATTTATAGTTTTCCAAAGTTTCTCTGATTCTGTTGTGCTCAATTTATAGCTAAACTTAGATATGGTTCAAAATAATCTAAAAATTCCATTTTTAGGAACTCGCAATTAATTTCATATCGTTAAACCATGATAATTTAGATCTCCAATCAATAGCTAGTTAATTTGAACACTTATTATCTAAGATGTTGGTTTTGTGCTTTAGATATGGATCCAAACATGAGCAACAGCATTTATCTTTCTGATGATCATGAGAATGAAGAAACAATAACCATACTTGATACTGGTTTGGAGGGAGATGACAAGATGAAGACTGTTTTGATTTCTGAATTCGTCAAGCAACTCGATGGGAATGGTTTTCACCAAGAAGAACATGACACCGAGGTACAATCCCTTAAAAAATCAACTTTTTGTAGTTCTTTTTATTCTTTATTAATTTTGCCCTTTTGTTTCGATTTACTTGTACTTTCTAGCTTTACTTGAATTTCCATTGTTACATATTTAATGCCGTCAATAGATATATATATTTTCTTGGTTTCAAATTAATTGTTATTAGGATGCCGCTCTGCTTGCTGAGCAGATGTTAGAAGTTTCGCTTTCAGATGAGAGCAATGAGGTTGAAGAAACCGATGAAGGTATGTTATACATTAATCACAAGTACTTGATGCATTAACGGTTTACCTTATTTTTATCATTTTTATGCAAGTATCCAAATGTAAAATGGTAGAAAACTAAACCTATTGTTTTATTTCAAAAAATGATGCTTTCAAATGTTAGCAAGGGTTAGTTACTCCTTTGGCCGAAATTTGTATGGTGATTCCTTTCATCCAAACCAAATTAATTAATAGTTATTTTTCCCAGTTAGCATCAGCTGTAGAATAACGATTAGAACTATTTGATATGAAAAAGACGAGTACCAATAGAATAATTAAGTACTTATGCATAGAATTACTTAATGGAGAAAGGAGATTCTATGATTTATTTGGCCAATATTCTTCCTACTTTATGACTTTCTTGTGTGTGCATTCGATTTTTCTGAGTTTTTTTTTTTTGTGTTTTTCTGGTCGACCCTCTGTTGTCTTCTATAAGAGCTGGTGGATCAGGAGCCAGAGGAAACCCTATCCGGGGGCAGGCCAGATGCTGAAACTATAGCGGAAATATTTTTGGGGCAATATTATGGTCTTCTCTATGAATCTCCAGAGCTGGTGTCCAATTTTTACAAAGATGAAAGTGTACTAAAATGGCCTGGTGTTGTTGAGTCAACAACGACAATGGAAAGTATAAAAGAAACAATCATGTCCTCAGATTACCAGGGATGCGAGGTGCAGGTTATGAATGTTGATGCCCAGTTCTCTCTGATGGATGGAGTGATTATCACTGCTATTAGTTGTTTACTTGGGAAAGACAAGATGAAAAAAATCATCTCTCAAACATTTTTCCTTGCCAAGCAGGAAACCGGGTGGTTTATCTTGAATGATAGCCTTTGCGTGATAGATGCACAAGAAATTTTGCAAGCTTCGTTTGCTGGTCATGATGGCCTTGATGAAAGTGGTTCAGTTGCAGCTTTGAATGATTCCCCCATTCAACCGAAATCAGAAAACGAAGTCATGTCCATGGAAGCTAGAGATGGTGTTGAGGAAACCCTAGAAGTCATTCTCCCAGCTACTGAATTTCCAAAGTTGCCAGTTAGCAAAGCTCTGAATATCACCACTGCCAGTGCATCTACTGAGAAACCTGAGGGCAAGAAAATTTCGTATGCATCGATGGTGGCAAAAGAGACAAAAGCTTCATCTTCTGCAGATGATTATGGTCATAAAATTGTTAGGGTGGCTCCAAGTTCCAACCAGCATCCAGTTGCTTCTCCCAAACCGGCGAGGATGGCTCCAAGTGCTAACCGTGGAAGCTTTCGCTCTAGAAACTTCAAAGCCCAAAAGAAAGGAGAGGTTCATTCTAATGCGAGCTATCGCGATGATGGTGGACGTGGCTATGATAGGGCAAACAGGGAATTTAGTGCAAGTTACAGTGGACGCAAGGATGGAAGAGCTTTTGGTTACGGAGGAAAACCATATCCGAAGAACAACTACAAGAAAGATAGGCAGCCACAGAATGGAGGGGGAAATAATTCTGCTGCCAGCGCTTGATTGAGATTGGAGAGGAAGTTGTTGAAACAACTTACAATTCAGAATGTTTTCCTACTTGGTGTTGAAAATTTGGCACACATCATTTTCTATAGCAGTCGAATTGGGACTAATAGTTTGTTTTTATTGTTTTCATTTGCATTTCTTAAAGAGGATTCTATATGTTGAGAACTCATGTACGGTTTTCCGTAACTTATTTCAATTTCGTTATTTGTCGAAGATATTGTATGTATTTTTCAGTAATCTTTTGACTCAAGCCATTTTGGTTTTAAAGCTGAACTGTGGTTCTGATAATTAATTGAAGCCCTCATCCTAATTCGGTTTCTCTGTCAAGTTAGCTTAGTTGGTGGATATGGATTGAAAATCTCTTCATGGCTATCTACTAATTAATTCCTTTATCACGGATCTTCTTCCAAAAATAGTTGGTATTATAATGAGTTTGGACCGAAGAACAAATGATAAATTCTGTATATGTCCATTAGTAGTCATCGATTAGTGTATATATATATATATATATATATATATATATATATATATATATATATTTAATATTGGTTGTGTTGAAACTAATTAATGAGAAATGTCCAGTCCCTTGATTTGCGAAACCAGAACCCTTTATTTTTGAAGGTGGAAAACTCTCCTTTATAACCTCTCAGATTATATATGTGCCTTCTCTTCTTTGTTATTATTATTTTAGAACACTATCTTCTATTACACTTTTGTAGACAATGTAAATAGGTCTCTGCCTTTCTATTTGTACTGTATAATTATTCAAAAACATTAGCTGTTGCCAGATGAGGTAAAACAAAAACAAATAAAATGGAAATTGCTCATTATTGCATGCATGTTTGCCTTTTTGTTCCAAGAAGCCAAATGTCATCGTTCCATGCACTCTTTGACAACGCTACAAAAATCAATAAGCTTTTCCTGAATGCCTTACATCAGCAATACTACTTGACACCGCGAAAATAAGTTCCTTGAAAAAAACAAGGCACCCAAAACTACTCTACTCCCTGCACACATGAAGTTCCGGCCATTTAATTCATTCAAACCAAAAAACCCCCTTTAAAATTGGTTATCCTTGAATGGATCATTGTAGAATTATTCTGAATCCAATTGATGTATATATATGCATTTGATAAAATCCAATCAGCAAATCCTAACGTTATACCTTTTCGAACTGACAACTTCGCTAAGCGAATCAGCTTTAACGTTTGTTAGTTTCGCGGAATTTTATGGCCAAATCTAAAATTCACACACGAGAGAAATGTTTTGATATCATTTAGAGATTGTCTTGAAATGCCAAAACCAGCTACATTTGTTTGTATTTGTAAGAATTAAACGGGAGCTTCTTTTAGCAAGGAATAATGTATCTAAACCACACAAAAGTAAAGATGGTGAATTACTAAACTTCTTTATTTAACTGAAAATCAGACATCATTCCATGAAAGGCTAACAAGAATATCTTTGATTCAATACATTTATTAGTTTTTCTTTATCCTTTCTTCATTTTCACTCTTATCTTCCCACCAAAGCCGCCGCAAACCGCCTCCAGCAAATCACTTTTAACATGAATAAAGTTCCACCAGCTCATCCAAGGATTCAGTATGAGGATCACCATTCTCAAGCATCCAGAGCAAATGCTCAAAGAGCACAACCTCGCATTTCACCGTAATGCAATAGTCGGAGAAGCCGGAGGAATGGTCCATCAGCTCCCTGAACACTGGGTTCTCGATGACCCGAGATGGGAGGAGATACTTGCGGCGAGACTTACCAACATAGACCGGATGCAACTCTTCCCTGATTGCTGCGGAGGAGCTTTCCATGGAAGCGCCATTGGAGTTATTGGCAACCGAGGGAACTGGGCTGCGGTTAGCCTTTCGAGGCTTGAAAGACTGCATGATTTTCTTGAGAGCTGATTTGATCAGCTTGTTGAGTTTTCCTCCATTGGCCATTTTCGATTTTTGATGGTTTTTGGTTTTTTGAGGATAAATGAATTGGAAGAAGAAAGAACAGGAGAAAATGGTGGATTTAACTTTTTTGGTGGTCTTTCGGAGGATTGAAAATGGGAGAATAGCAGGAAATGTTTTGGTTTTGAGAAAGTGGAAGGAAAGGTACTTCATTTATATATAAAAATATAATTACACCGATCAGTTTGCTTACATCACTATTTCTTCTTTGCACCGCCAAATTTAGCACTAGTCCTCCACTTCTTCAAAACAATGGTGAGACGAAAAAGGAACTCTTCTATGGTGATGGTGCGTGGCGGAAGTGGTATAAACTTTTTACTGAGGATTTTGATGCAAATGAAAATTGTAATGCAGAGATTGATTAGTCCCTCGTCTCAAATTTAATAGTCCTATTGTTTTATCACGGCTCTTAGTAGTTTGAAGAAGCGGCAGCAAAAATCATCATGGTTGCATTAATTCAGTCGTCGTCTCAAACGATTTTTTTTTTTGTGAAAACCCTATTAATCTTCGATTTGATGATTATGTAAATGTTGTTTTAATAGTTCTGCTTTCATTTGTAAATGCTGATTTGATATTGATCATTTTAATGAGTTAAGGAAATAAATAGTAACCTGAGCTTGATGAAGATCAAGGGGGTTTAGAGTTTTGATTGATAAAAAGAAGAAGAAAAGAAAATTATTGTCTATTAAAAATTTGTCTCAAATGTTCTTCGAGTTCAAATACATAACAATAACAAAAGGACGATGCACAAATTATTTTCCCCCAAATTCATCGTCCGCTGCTTAGCTTCCTCACCACCAGCCTGCAAATATATAGCAAAGTACACTATATCAATTACTGTCTGCGTCTCATCTCAGTGCAACAAAGTGACAGAATGAATCAACTATCAATTTGGGACTAAAAAGGATACTCATTCACTCACTACGATTAATTCCCCTATCAATACTAATCAAGTAATTAATAAATTTAAGTATTTGATTTCGATGTAGTGACTTGAAGGTTACCTTCATTATTACTCTGATGCGATTTCGGTTTCACAAATCGGGCATTTTGCTTGCTCAAAGACTGCTCCGAGAAAGCAATTCTCGCAGAAGATATGAGAACACACAGGTGTTTTACCCGCGATCTCTCCAAGGCAAAGAGAGCAAATGAGAAGGTTATTTGCCAACATTTTTGCTTCTTCCACCAGCTGGTGACATAAATAGAGCAAAATGTTAGAAGCAGGAAACAAAGCGAAAAAAAAGAAGCAAATACTAGAAAATGAAGAACCTTGCTGTATAACACTCACATGTTATGGGATAAACAAAAATGACAACTATATTAAGGTACACGTACAGTCAAGGTATAAGTAGACTGTAAGACTTGAGATTTTCTTTTTATACAGCATGGTATATGTGTTTTGAGTCAAGGTATGGAGAAGTTCTTTCACTAAATAGATCGAATATACGATTATAATATTTGTTGAGCTACTATGGACATAGCAGAAATGGCTATATATCAAAGAAACATTTCTCAATATTCTCCTCTTTTCACAAATAATCAAAAGTTTGAAACCCTAAACAATCACTTAATCATTGCTTATCAAAAATTTCTCCGTTTACCAAGTCTTCTAGAGTAAAGTTACAAGGAAGAAGCAAAATTTTTCGGAAAGGGTAGCCAAAAATAATTTCAGTTATATAAACAAGTTAATAATGTGTATGCATATTACCACACTTAATTTTCCATATAAGTAATACAAATTATACATTAAAATGATTCATTCAAAGCAAACAAGTGACAAACTAAATTACCTCTTGGGACTTTTCTTTGCTCTGAACAAGAGGGATTCCATGAGCTTCCTCTCCTCTGGGTTTAGCTGTTTCGATATTTGCATATCCCATGACAAATTGAACGCATGATCATCCATTTTACAAGTTAGATAGATTAAAAAAAAAAAAAGGAAATAATTATAATCAACGATAACACCGAGAAATCAAGCTAAAAGTAACACTTGACAAACCTTCAATTGCTTCTTCATCAAGATCCATCTCATCATCAGAACTCAGTACTAAAATCCCATCAACCTGATCAATAAAAATCAACATTTATCAATAAAAATCGATCCAGAAGAATTCATAACAGAGAAAAATGGCATAGATTCCACCGGCATTGGAGGGTTTCATTCTATAATTAATTAGGCAAAAAATAGAGAAACAATTCAATCGATTTACCTCAGAATCATCAAGTGACATTATTTTTTTCACTTCATGGAGAATATACACTCTAACATTTCTATTTCGATCAAAATCCTGAACAAACGTTGGACCATTTCCATCGCCATAGTTCTCAGTAGTCACATACCGCAACTACATTTTTCAAATTTAACAGAAAATTAAGTTACAAAGTTACTCAAATAAATTGATTGTTGTATCCAAACCAATCAATACATATTCAATTATAAAATCAGGGGTTTGAAAGAAATGGCAAACGAAGAACACATCACCGATTAATTTCTATGCATCTAAGATGATAAGTAATCTCTAAGACAGAAATTGAGAAAGGACTTAACTGAATTAAAACATACTCCAACGGGACGATCCATTGTTGTCGAGGGATGAACAAGCTAATGAAGATGGTTTCCTTGATCTAAGAACTGCAGAAACTTGAACCAAAAGCGGAGAGAAGAGCAGGTTTTGGCACTCACAGCTGTTTAGCAGAAATGAGAGTGTATAATGACAGCTAGTTTTGTCGGTGTAAGTTTATGAAGTTGTCAACAAACTGAACGGTGCTTACGTTTGTAGAAATGAAGGCTAACATTTGTCATCCAATGATGAACTCCATTTGCATGCAGAGATAAGAAGCTTCTCCACACTTTGCTTCTTTTTCTTTTTTGCCCCGAGAAACAATTCTACATTGTACTCAATGTATATGAAATTAGGGATATGTAATAGGATCAGGGCTTTTATTTTCGTCCTTTTACTTTTTATTTTGATACATTAGACAATGAAATGCTTAAGGAAGCTTCTAACAAGTATACTTACATAGAGAAAACTAATGAAATCTTGTTCCGACTCATAGTTCAAACTATCACAAATTGAGTGACAATTGAGGAATGATTCAGCTCTAAGTTCAACATACAATTGGTTTTGTTGGATTTGAAACAAATATTCATTGATTTAATCGCTTAAAGAATGATGATAGAGGAAAGTTAATGATGCACATAACCTGTACATATATGGAACTTCTCCTTCAAAGTGATATACACATATGGTTGACGTAACGTATATTTGACCTTCCTTATTAGCATTATTAAATTATTCTGAACTTATTAGGTAATATTTTACTTTGCTCTAAACATCATTGTGCTTTTTAGTCATCATTGTTAAGTTAAACTTAACCATGGATGGTCCAAAAGGAACTGGATTTGCCTGTATAAACGCTAATCATGGAGATTTGATTAATTCAAGGATAAAGGAACTTTTAAGATGACGTTAGGCGATCAAGTTCAAACTTGTTCGAATTAAAGAAACGTATTTGGGATTATTTGGTCTCATTGACACTTTATTACATGGATTTACTAGTAGGTCCAGGAGTGCTTATTTGTGTTACATCAAAGTTTCACACCTTCAATATGATTTAATCCGAGTTATATATATACATGTATAACTGGTTGTGGTCTTACATTTATTGTATCTCAGCGTAATCTAATTCTGATAGTGTTTTCTTTTATTTTTTTCGGGCAAGAAAGATCCGTTTCACTATCATGTAAAGAATCACATTTCATGCATATATTTCCACATCATCTCAAGAAATTAAATTTAGAATTAATAGTTGATTGGATATAGGAAAAAAAAATCTGACTCTTCCTAGTCAAGACTAATTAAAATGCAATTAAATTAAGTATTTTGCACAATGAATACATTTTTACTGATTTGGGAACCATCGTTATGGAGGCTATGTGACTTCATCAATAATATTGTGCTAAAATTTCCTTTAAGTCTATGTAACTTCATCAATAAAATTTTCTTTAAAATATTGATTAAGATGCTTAACCCAATTCCATAGCGGTTATTCCAGAAGACCTGGCATTTTTAAGGGGCAAATATAACATGAACAATATTCTAATGACTCAAGATCATTGTCAGTTATTTGATCATCCAGGAGTAGGAAATAATCGGGATATCGACGAGGATATGATGACGGCATATGATCAAGTTTCACGGAACTTATTAAGTATGGTGTTACATGCTTTTGGTTTCTGCTAGAGATTCGTCTCTCTTATAATGTCAAACTTAAGGGGTTGTTGATTTTCTTTCTTTATTAATGGAAGTCATACGAGTTTCGTTAAAGCAACTTGGGAAATTAAAAAGGAGATATATTATTACCATACATGTTTATTCTAGTCTCAGAGACCCTAACTAGAAGGATAAAGTTGTTGATATAGAAAGGTCGTGCAACAAATTCAACAAGGTCTTTCTTGGTCTCATATCTTTGTTTTGTTGATGACTTCGACAAGGGGATTTATAATATCAATGAGGAATCTAAATTTTTTTTTTTTTTTGGCAAAGTATTCTGAAGTTGCGAAAAATGGATAAGCAAGCCTTTCTTGGACTCCAACAGTTTGCAAAATAAGTCATGTAGATATGGTTTCTGAAAATTTGGGTACAAAGGGGTTTCTTCCCATTTAAGTATATGGGGTGCACTTTATTTAAAGGGAAAAAGAGAACAACTAATTTTCAATATCTATTTAATTTGTTCGTGTTGGATTTTTTGGGTTCCCACCAATGTCGAGTAAAAAGCCCAATATTTGTTATTTTGTTTTGGCCAAACTTTGTGAATCTTTAGAGGTTTGAAGAGACTATGTAAAATCTTCTTATGGCAGAATTTCAACAGCCAGGGAGTTAGCCAAGATATAGCTAAGAGTGAGTCTCCTTAGCTCAAGGTACCAAAGGACACAAGGACAACACCATGTGCTGCTTATGTAGCCATAGATGTTGGTTACATGG